TAAGTTTTCATAAACTAAAATTAGGCTCTAGATTCAAAACCGAGAATCGGTTTCGAGTCCCGTCTTCTCCTACAAGTCATGTGTTCCTAGTATGTTACGCGTGTCAAGTTTCGTTTACATCCGAACCCGTTTGAGCATTTTAGTGTGTCAACCGGTTTGAAAAAGAGTTATTAAGTAACAAGTTTTCATTAACGAAAATTAGGCTCTAGATTCAAAACTGGGAATTGGTTTCGAGTCTCGTCTTCTCCTACAAGTCATGTGTTCCTAGTATGTTGTGCGTGTCAAGTTTCGCTGACATCCGAACCCGTTTGAGCATTTTAGTGTGTCAACTGGTTTGAAAAAGAGTTATTAAGTAACAAGTTTTCATAAACGGAAATTAGGCTCTAGACTCAAAGCCGGGAATTGGTTTCGAGTTCTATCTTATCCTACAAGTCATGTGGGGCTAGTATGTTGTGCGTGTCAAGTTTCGTTGACATCCGAACCCGTTTGAGCATTTTAGTGTGTCAACCAGTTTGAAAAAGAGTTATTAAGTAACAAGTTTTCATTAACGGAAATTGGGCTCTAGATTCAAAACTGGGAATCGGTTTCTAGTCCCATCTTCTTCTATAAGTCATGTGTGCCTAGTATGTTGTACGTGTCAAGTTCCGTTGACATCTGAACCTGTTTGAGCATTTTAGTGCGTCATCCAGTTTGAAAAAGAGTTATTAACTAATAAGTTTTCATAAACTGAAATTAGGCTCTAGATTCAAAACCGGGAATCGGTTTCGAGTCTCGACTTCTCCTACAAGTCATGTGTGCCTAGTATGTTATTTGTGTCAAGTTTTGTTGACATCCGAACCCATTTGGGCATTTTAGTATATCAACCGATTTGAAAAAGAATTATTAAGTAACAAGTTTTAATTAACGGAAATTAGGCTCTAGATTCAAAATCGGGAATCGATTTCGAGTCATATCTTCTCCTACAAGTCATGTGTGCCTAGTATGTTATTTGTGTCAAGTTTTGTTGACATCCGAACCCATTTGGGCATTTTAGTGTATCAACCAATTTGAAAAAGAGTTATTAAGTAACAAGTTTTCATTAACGGAAATTAGGCTCTAGATTCAAAATCGGGAATCGATTTCAAGTCCTGCCTTCTCCTACAAGTCATGTGTGCCTAGTATGTTGTTGGCTTAATGTATTCTGCCACGTTCTTTGTAGCTAAGTTCTCTATTTGGTTGTTTGGTAAAAAATCAACACCAACACATATCAACCTAATTTTTTACAAGAATAATTTATGTATTGTGATATAAAAAAATAAATTATTTAGATTATTGATGTGTGGTCCATGGCCAGAAAAAATTCTCAATTGTTCTGGAGTAATGTGTTTGCAGTGGAGAAAGAATTGATGTTAGAGGAGTCTAACTATGAAATGAATCTAAGCCATAAAGTCGTTATTTTTAGGTAAAAATTTATGAAATTATAGTATTACTTAAAACTATAATTAGCACTCATTTGAAAAGTGATAATTTTTAAACTAAATGAGGTGAAAAGAAATCGAGATGTTTAGAAAGAAGTTTTTGACTTTTTACCCAAAAAATAAAAATACAAAAAATGGAGTATTGGAAAAAAAAAATTAATTATTATTTGTGTGTGTTTAAATTTTTTGTGAAAATCAAAAAAAAAAAAAAAAAAAAAAACAGTTTGAATCTTATAACAAAATAAATTTTGAATTTTGAATTTTATCAGTTTAAACTTTAATTTTTTTTTAATTTATTTTCAATCTAAACAATTTGTCTATTTTTGTTAAGTAAAATTGATTAAAAATAGATATTTTAATAATAAAAGTTAATGAAAAAATATATTTTAAACATTTTATATATACTAATGATTAAAATATATATTTTTTTTTGTCAATTTTGTTTAACGAAAATAAACAAAACAAATAAATAAAATTAAAAATTATTTATTTTGTTATAAGGATCAAACACTTTTTTTTTTTTTAAACATCTCCAACTTTATATATATATATTTCATAAAATTTGATGTGGAACGTTTTAATATTTTTTATTTAAATAAAAATTTGAGAGTTTTAGGATTGTCACTACTTTTTCTTCTTTTTTTTTTAATTTAAAAATGTTGTTAAACAGAGGGCTTGCATTTCAAATTTATTAATTACATCATAGAATAAGGAGTTTATTGAAATTAAAAATAAAATTTTGAGAATAACAGATGCTCCTCTTACCAAGGATGTGCCTTTTTTAGGTGATAAATTTGGAAGCTAATAGAGGCTTTATATGCTCTTTGATTGTGTTAATAAACCAATCCTTGATGGCTCTAACAACTATGCTCTTTGACATATAGTTGTTAGTTTTTTTTTTTTTTTTTAATTGGTTTTTTTTTTTTTAATTTTTTTTTTTTTTTTTTTGTCATAGTTGAAGGTCGGTTGAGGGTCATCAAAAACACTATCCTTATTGGGACAAGACATCATCTTGTGACGACAACACACCCAAGTCATCAAAGACTAAAGGTTGATTCACAGCTCTATCTAGATATATCAAAGAGATTAACCTAAGGTGAAGATTATTATTATGTACACATGGATTAAAAGCTTTTGGGTGTTCACACATATGGGATTTGATTCTTGACCCAGAAAGCTTTTAAGTTGGATAATTGTTTTGACTGTTTTAGAAAACAAAAATATCATATACCCAAAAGAAAATTTCAAAAAATACCAGCCGACATCGAACTATGTATATTTTTGTGTTCTTTGTTATCTTAGACAAAAATATATGTTGTTTTATCTTTTATTTTGTAATCAAACAGTTCATTTGACAGTTGCCATGTTGATAGCTTTCGAAGGAATAAAACATGGAATATAGAGTAAGCACAGAGCATATGGTGTGTCAGTCTCCCTTTCTCACTAGAGGAGACAGGCCATGTGGATATCGGGAAATTATAAAATGTTTTCAGAGCATTACGTGCCTGTATTTTTTAACCAATCTTTATTTAATATGTCCCTCATATTTCTCAATCACTCAACACAATTACCCACTTACCAATTTTCTCTACCAAATTACGTATTTATATTCCGAGATTACTGAATAATTACCCATAGATATCAATGAGAATATAGTTTTTCTCAATCTTTTACAATCTTTGGGTTTTCTCATGCAAAAAATGGTTCTTCTATGTTTAATGGAATAGGGAATGGAGTGTGAAGTGGGGGGAGAAGATACTTTTTGTATTAGTCCTTGTAAAACAAGAAGCATATACTTTTTTGTACAGTGGAATAGTTTAGACTAGGAACTTGGGTTTCTCAAATAGTTTGGGAAATGGATGGAAAATCCCGACGCGTCAACTATCAAAAAATTATAACATTGCAAATGTGTTTTGTCAAATTTTTAGATAATTTGGTGGTGGATAATTCAATATATATATATATATTTATGAGTAATTCTACATGCTTATAAAAAAAATTATAATTTCCATGTCAAATGGTGGGTAATATTAAAAGACAGAAAGAAATAAAACATATAAGAAGCATGCATGGCAAAATAAGAACAGAGGAAGGTGGAGCTCATGACTGTTTTATGTGTTTTTAAACAAATTTTTAATTATTTTTCTCAGTATGTAAAATTAATCTATAATTATCAACTTCTTAATTACTTATTTACTGTTTTGTAATGGATCTTTCTCTCATGAAACATGCCACGTGTCCATAATAGATATTTGTAATGCTTTTAATCTTGGTGCAATCTTAATCCAGATGCAAAAATGTTATCAAAATAGAATAAGAAATTTTTGTGATGTGGAAAGATAAAGAATAATTTTGTAGCGCAATCAAAGCACAAAGAGAAGCATATACATTCCAATTTTTTTCTCCAAATAATTGAGATTTGAGAATTTTGGATAAGTTTTTGAGAATTTCGGATAAGTTTTGTAAGAGCAAACACTACTATAGGGGTGTTTGGCAAGTTGGGTTTGGGTTTTTTGGGGCTAAAATTCACAAAAACAAAAACAAAAATAAAAACAAAAACAAAATAAAAAAACAAAATAAGCTAAAATAGTTAATAAAACAAAAGGTCACATCAAACCCATGACCATTTCACGTTTTCTCTCACAAATATTACATCGAATCAAAAAAAAAATCTAACCATCTTCCCAAACATAACTATTTTACACTACAAGAAATGTCACTTTTGGCTAACAAAATATTGGTCGCCAAAAGTCACATATTTAGTCGCCGAAACGATTTAGCGACCATAATATTTTGTCGCTAAGCTTGTCGCCTTTACCCTGTCGGCGATAGTATTGGCGACTAAAATTTTTTTGGTCGCCGAAAGTGACTACATTTGGCTACTAACTTGTGTTTAGTCGGCAAAAGGTATGTTTTCCGCCACTAATGTATTAGTCGCCGAATGATTACATTTGGCTACTAACTTGTGTTTAGTCGGCAAAAGGTATGTTTTCTGCCACTAATGTATTAGTCGCCGAATGACTACATTTGGCTACTAACTTGTTTTTAGTCGGCAAAAGGTATGTCCGCTACTAATTGTTGGAAATGGTTAATTTTTTCCTAAGTTAGGTCTATTTTTTAGGTGGGCCCCGAGTGTCGATTAACTCGGGTCAAAGTGGTAACGCGTTCTATGCCGCGTTGTGATTCACGTGGTATATTTGGTTGCTCAAAACCATTACCGAGTGAATGGGAAATTGAAGCCAAAGTGTGCTCCATGAAAATGGAGTTTTGGTGGAAAATAATTTGAGAATAACTATTATAGACCAAAATATTTGGTGGCCAAATAATTTGAGAATAACTATTACGTATTTGGCTACCAAAATATTTGGTAGCCAAATACTTTAACGTGTTTTTTTTTTTTTAAAAAAAAATAAAATTTTCTATAAACAACCTGTACAAATTAATCCATCACTAAATCTATTATTAATGCAACCTGTACCCTGTATAAACAATATAATCCATCAACGGTAAATATGTTATCAAGCATTCAACAACGTGCACACATTTCAGTTCCAACCATCCAAAAAATTAATATTGAACGTCCACTTATATATATATTACAAATTTCATAAGAACCATGTCTAATCCCACGTCAAGAATTTAATTCCATACATAATACTGGAATAACCAAATTAATTGTACACCTATAACTTCTGTACCACAACAAAAATTATATTCTATACTGCCACAAAACTATTTTGTACCACGTGCTATGTTAATTTCTACCAAATTAGCTGATATTTACTCTACCAAAAAAATATTTTGTACAAACCACTATATATACGGATAGAGATATAAAAACAATGTCCTCACGTACTTGTCAAAAAAAACATATCCACATTTGTATGTCCAAAAACATCTGCAAAAAAGGGGAAACAAATCATTAGTTCGGTGCGTGTAGAGGCACTTCTGGACGACATATATATATCGTAATAATTTCAAACATTAAAAGACAAGGAGAGTAATATTTATTAACTAATGCAAGACATCCAAACATGGACCCATCATGAGTTCTTGTTTTAGCTTTTTAATCTCTAAATCTATCTAAGTAAATTTTAGTACTTAAATGTGAAAGTAAATTGTGTAGGTATTACGAAATTACAGAAATTTTGGGTGTACTTACCATTTCATCCAAAAATTATTTGTTATAAAAATGTAAGAGAACCCATCATTAGAGTTTGTCTGGTATCCATAAAACTCACTATGCTTATGCTTTTGTGACCTCCATGAAGCTTCCAGTTAGTGGGTTTATAGATGTAGATATGCTTCTGTTTGTGAATGAGTAATGCCATGGGTTCTTTATAGGCTTATGGGGACAAGAGCTATATAAGATTATGCTTACCTATTCTTCCATCTTACTATCTAATTTTGATACGTATCTTCAATACTTGGCTTCTTTAGTCCTAAGTTCCATGTTCTGTTGCTGAGTAATTATCCTCCCATCAGCCAAATCTTGAGGCCATGTTATATATATAAACTGTGTATTGTTCAACTGTTGTTGCACATTTTTTAGTGGTGATAGTTAAACTTATCAAATACACAATTGCGCCTAAACCTTAGCTGAACTTTACAAATCCATTGTTCGAATTTCCAAACGATTAGGTCAACAGGATATATCCTTCGTCACATTTAGTTCTTGCAAAATGGTGCCCCCCGAACCCCTTTTTTCGACTAAGTTTATGACATTTTCAACTCTAACTCCCAACTCTAAGGATATATCCTTCGTCACATATAATTTTCAAAACGCCAAGAAATGCAATGTAATTGGACCACAACAACAACAAAATTTCAACTCTAATTCCCAAAGTAGGTGTCCTATTTACGTACCGTCTATCCGTAGATGTCACATTTATCACCGGGAAGCTTCCGGTTACCAAAAAATAGTGTTTCGGGGGCTATTTTGCATTTTCGCCCCCCGAATCCCTTTTTTCGACTAAGTTTATGACATTTTCAACTCTAATTCCCAACGTAAGCGTGCTATTTATGTACCGTCTGTCCCTACATGTCACATTTATCACCGGAAAGCTTCCCGTTATGAGGAAACAGTGTTTCGGGGGATGCTTTGCATTTTCGCCCCCCAAACCCATTTTTTCGACTAAGTTTATGACATTTTCAACTCTAATTCCCAACGTAGGCGTGCTATTTACGTACCGTCTGTCCCTACATGTCACATTTATCACCGGGAAGCTTCCCGTTATGAGAAAATAGTGTTTCGGGGGCTATTTCGCATTTTCACCCCCCGAACCCCTTTTTTCGTCTAAGTTTATGACTTTTTCAACTCTAACTCCCAACGTATGTGTCCTATTTACGTACCGTCTGACCCAACGTGTCACATTTGTCACCGGGAAGGTTACCATTACTTTTAAACACATATTCGAGTTACTATTCAAAATACCACTGTTGAAGTTTACATGTTACTCTAAACGAAGATTGAAATTCGCTATGTTTTTTTAACATGTCTCTACTATAGTTAATCTTAATCAAGTACATATTTTAAATACAAGTTAACAGTGGTTCGAGTTACTATTCAAAATACCACTGTTCAAGTTTAAATGTTACTCTAAACGAAGATTGAAATTCGCTATGTTTTTTTAACATGTTTCTACTATAGTTAATCTTAATCAAGTACATATTTTAAATACAAGTTCATTGTTAAGAAAACTCAATACCAAACTCTAGTAACTACACAAGAAATCATTAACCCCAAATAACTCACAAATTGATGACATTTTCAACTCTTCAAGCGAACATATTTAAACAAAGTAAGTGTGACATTAATGAAATTGTTCTTACCAAAAAACAAACGTCGGATGCCCAACTTAGATTCCCAAGAGTTGTGACAGTTTGACGACTACGTTATTGAGATGCTCGACCTTTGTATTTGTCTCGTCCCTTGCCTTTTGTCCCTCCTCCCGCTCTTTCAACATCTCATTGGATAATTGAATGCGCTCCTCTCGTTCTTTCAACAGCTCATTGTAACATCTCTCGCGCTCCTCTTGCTCCTTTATTAACTCGTCATGATCCTTTTGTCGCTCCTTACGAAGTGCCTCCACCTCAGCTCGCATTGCCTCCATGTCCTTATCGTGTGCTCGCGTTGCAAATATGGTAGACGGTTGTGGGCCACTCCCAAATCCAAGCAAGTACCTTTTCTTCTGTCCAAGCAAGTACAATTTCAATATCAGCTAATAACTGAGCTGTATGCAACCATTCACATGAAACCATTACGCCCTCAATTAAGTTAAAAACCAATATATATATATATACATGTTCTACAGATGCTCACGCCACAACAACAGATATTAATACATCAGAGAAGATTAATAAAGCACACTGCTAAGTAAGTTCAATCTAATTAAGTAAACACCTAGTTTGTTATTAATAATAACATCAATAACTCCCAAGGTTAGTAGCTGACTCTAAAGCAGTACTTTCAAAGCCACCTGCAGCATTGATTCAAGGCATGTCCCAACCACCAAGGAAAACCACAGTGCATGGGTGAAGGGAACTACATAGGGCTTGGTTTCTTTTTCTGTGTTTTTTTATTTTTATTTACTTTTAGTTTTTAACCTATGGAGAAAGGAAGGGAGAATCAAATTCCACACCGAGCTCATCATTGAGACTAGAACTTCACAAATCACAACTTTTACACGACTAAAGAACTGTGCCTTCTACCAGGTGTAGTATGAAAACAAAGAAATACCCTCTAGTACAAGATTTGGTAACTATGGTTCAGGGCAGTGGTTAAAAAGCCATCTTAAGGCTGATTGTAATAAGTTTATGTTGTTACATTGGTTGGTGAAATTACATGAAGCTGTAGGATTTGCTTTGGTGTATAAACTAGGTAAAGCTTTACAGCTTAGTAGCACAAGGCCATGAGTTTGGGGTTGTTCTTCATCAACATAGCAGTCGTAGGACAAATGGAGTGATTGAATAGTCTTGTTCAATTTTTATTGTGGGAAATTAAGGACATTAAGAAGCTTAAAGAAGTGCAGAAAATAAAGAGCCAAGAGTTAAGGGCAGTTCATGAACACAGTAGTCATTGGACAACCGAAGAGAACAATTAGGCTTCTTCAATCGGGTTTGTTGGCTTAAAGAAATTCAGAAAATTAAGAAGTAGAACATATATCAATATATAAAACTCACCCAGCAGCAAATTAACAAAAAAAGAGAGAATAAAATAATACTCTATTAACACCTCAGCTGATATGTATCCCTATAATGTCACCCACATTTCTTCCTTTGAATACTCCAAAAAAGGCCAAAAGTAAAGTTGCATACAAGTATTAGTTATTATGTTCCCATTATTGATGTTGGAAAATACTTATAGTTGAACTTTAGGCAAATACATACAGAATAGGCATAGACATACAGAGTCTATATAAACTAAAATTATAGAATATTTTTACTACCAATGAATAACATCACATAAAAAGAAAAAAAAAATTACAATGTGTACACAGACCACAACTAAGCCCATACCTTTGTTTTTACATAATGGAAAGTTGTTTCAATATGTATTAATAAAGACTAGTGAATCTCAGGTGCTTAATTTATGATTTAATCCAATTAATAAATAAACCAAGCATGGCAAATATAAATAGATAAATGAACCAATTAACACACACAAAAAAAATAAATAAATAAGGTTTTAAGTTGTTGGATAAGATGGCATTACAGCATGATTACAGGGTTGGCAATTAAGAAACAAGTTTATGACATTTTCAACTCTAACTCACAATGTAGGTGTCCTATTTTTGTACCATATGTCCCCACATGTCACATTTATCACCGCGAAGCTTCCCGTTACGAAAAAACAGTGGCTCGGGGGCAGTTTTGCATTTTCGCCCTCCGAACCCCTTTTTTCGACTAAGTTTATGACATTATCAACCCTAACTCCTAACTTATGTGTCCTACTTACATACCGTCTGTCCCTACATGTCACATTTATCACCGGGAAGCTTCCCGTTACGAAAAAATAGTGGCTTGGGGGGTTGTTTTGCATTTTCGGCCCCCGAACGCCTTTTTTCGACTATGTTTGTGACATTTTCAACCCTAACTCCCAAATTGATGACATTTTCAACTCTTAAAACCAACATATTTAAACAAAGTAAGTGTGACATTAATGAAATTGTTCTTACCAAAAAGCAAACGTCGGATGCCCAACTTAGATTCCCAAGAGTTGTGACAGTTTGGCGACTACGTTATTAAGATGCTCGACCTTTGCATTTGTCTCATCCCTTGCCTTTTGTCCCTCCTCCCGCTCTTTCAACATCTCATTAGATAATTGAATGCGCTCCTCTCGCTCTTTCAACAGTTCATTGTAACATCTCTCGCGCTCCTCTCGCTCTTTCATTAACTTGTCATGATCTTTTTGTCGCTCCTCACGAAGTGCCTCCACCTTAGCTCGCATTTCCTCCATGTCCTTATCGTGTGCTCGTGATGCAAATATGGTAGAGGGTTGTGGGCCACTCCCAAATCCAAGCAAGTACCTTTTCTTTTGTCCAAGCACTTGCAATGAAATCTCCTCCTGTGTCAATGGCGTCCCCGACTCGATGGCAGTCGCTTGTACATTGACCATCTCTTGCTATCATTGCAAATAAATAAGTCGAAAAATACTTTGGCAACATATATGTATTACTGGGTACTAAGTACAAGAAAATATTGAATACATATATTTCCTTGTCACATACTTACATGCAACTCACGACATTTCGGATGGATCCGATCATTCGTTTTCTTTGAAGTGTGGCTGTCCTCATAAAACTTTGGGAAATCCAAATCTCTATTTTTTGCTACCTGTTAACACATCAACGTATAAATCAATGATTTTTGCAGACAGATTTGTTGTAGATTTTTGCAGACATATTAGTAGTTTAAACAGATTAAGTAGATTTTTGCAGACAGATTTGTTGCAGACAGATTTGTATGATAACAGAGTTTTTGCAGACAGATTAGTACTTTAGACACATTTCTTTGCAGACAGATTTGTATAGACAAATTTTCATTAACAGCTTTGTAAACAAATGTCTGGACAGATTTGGAGGCAGATTTGGAAATTTGTTGCAAACAGATTTGTAGTTTATACAGAGTTCGAATTCAAGAAGATTATCATTAACAGAATTATATTTTCCAGACAAATCTTTTGCAAATTTTTTCAAAATGACCACTGCAAAATGACCACTGCTGGATCAACCAAGATGTCATAGAAGTCTGCAGAAGTGGAACTCAGGAAGCATTCATACATGACCAACAGAATCCCCACACATCTGAGATGTCTTACCAGCCATACTAACCAACCATGGCACAGTAACCCAGCTGTAGCAACCTAGTTCAGAGCATACCAGACAATGCACACCAGAAAACATTCATAGATGACCAACCAACCAAGGCACACCAACCTAACTATAGCACATTGCATAACCACTAGTAGATTAGAGACAGGCAGAACAGACCAGACTATTCAACACCATACTATTCAAGACAGCAGCAGAGGACTTAATGCAGATGTTCCAACAGATTTCTGCGAACACATTTTTCAGATTTTTGCAAACAGATTTTCCCAGATAGCCACTTATAACCACTTTAGATTATGTGTATTCTAACATGTGTTGACTTTCTAAAAATCTGTTGAAACATATTTTTTGTAACAGATTTTTACAAACTGATTGAAACAGACCAATCAGAGTATCACTAACAGAATTTTCCAAACACAATTGAAACAGATTTTTACAAACAGACTTTTTCAGATTAGTTCAAATTGATTTTTGCAAACAGATTGTACGTCATATTTATTCAAACACATTTCGTCAAACAGATTTTCTCAAACAGAATTGAAACAGATTTTCCCAGTCAGATTTTGCGAGACAGATTTCGAATGAAAAACAGAGTATAGTCCTTGGACAGATTTCGAATGCAAACATCTAGCATGGGTATCATTAACAGATTCTTTCCACACAGTTTTTTTTTGCAAATAGTAGATGTTTAGTAACAGAGTTCAACACACACATATATATATATATATATATGTATCACAACATAACATTTTCATATCCAAACATTACAAAGGATTCAAGTTTTAAAAAACATCAAACTCACCATAGTAGCCATTGCGATAGAAAATGAGCGAGACCCATTGGTATGATTGTACGGCAATTGAGTCCTATTACTCTTGCCAGCTTTTGACCGTTTCTAAAAATAAGACAAACAGATAAACAATTTTTTGGTAAATACTAAGGCATATCACATTTTCACATAGATATATGTACTCTATCTAGTCTATTATTTTACCTGGTGAGATGCATCTTGCCATGCCACATCGATCAAATGCTTCCAATTATCTAAACTCACCCCTACAGGCGGATGAGCATAGATGTCATCACGTGGAAGTCCCTCTAACAATTCGAACTCTTGCTTCAAGGTGTACCTCCAATCTTTGTACAACCCATGGGCCTTCTTATTCACAATCTCTTGTGCTTGTAAGTCATTGTGGAAATCGTTTCCAATTTGAAACTTGTCCTACAAGCATAACAAATTGAAATTGTAATCATTAAATAATAGTCTTTCTTATTAGCATACATAATACAATTACATCTTGTGGACAAGTAATATTAGTTACAAGAACTCCTTGGATGACGGCAGCTTTTGTAGTCTCATCAAGATCCAGCCATGACTTCACATCTTTCAAAGGGCACAAGGTTCTAATTTGAATTCCTAACTCGTTAGTTGCTGGAGTGGCATACTTGCCAGTCATTGCATTCAACTCACGATCGATGTGAACATAACATTTTTCCCCTTTCTTGGCTCAAATTATTTTTTGTATGCCTTTGCCACGTGTCGGTCCGCGTACACGTAGGGGCTTCGAAGTCCCTGTTAACAAAATAACAACACGAAAATTGGCTACAAATTGGGTACAAAAAAACAATGGCAATGGCAAGTGATAATTGACACATTTGATACACTTTAATCTTACCTACGCCACTCGGCTGCGTTTCAGATGGGGCTTATGTCTCATCAGAATCAACCATTGGTTGGCTAGTGGCATTATGAGATGGTCCCACATTTGATGGGACGGGGAGAACACGAGATGGAGCAACGGTTGATCCTGAAGGAATAGCAGCTGGCGAGTCTGTTTCTAGCTGCGTGAGTGTCTTTTTCCGAAGCCGACCAGTCTTTAATCCAGGAACCATTTTCCAATCTGCCTGATGCCTGATGCTGGAACAGTGTTTTATGTTCTGGATTAAATTTGTGTCACATGAATAAACTAATAAAAATACATCACATGAATAACCTGATAAATATACATCACATGAATAAACTGAAAAATAAACTGATAAACTGATGAATAAAAGAAAATAAGGTGGCAGCAAAAGAAACAAATTGTAGTTTTCAAAAGAAACTCATGAATAAACAATGGATTGAGAGCACACTCTTGGTTATAGTAGTTTTCAAAAGAAACAAATTGTTGGACTTATTGGGATTTAGTGGCAGCAAGCCCCAGTCTGATGCATATTTCAATCTCATATTATCATACATGAAGAAAAATTTATAGCATATCCACCTTGCACCTCCCTATCACAGGGCAATGGACATACGACACACTTCCGTAAATACCATCCACACTGCATGCTATCTTTATAATCATCCACTAGAATAAACAACTACACACCTGTGTCATGACCTTTGCAATTAACAAATTCACCTCTGCTACTACATACAGACCAATAAAAAACAAACTCAGAAGGATACCAAGAACAAGAAAATCACAAGTGCAACTTACCAGGGCTTGTTGGATGAGAATAGATGGATTTCGCACTTCCTTTATGCCCTAACAGTGTTGCAATACCAAGAACAAGAAAATAAAATCAGCAACTTAGCATCTTCCTACACAAATTCAAACCATAACTAATGTTAGAAAATTACAAAATGAGGCCAAAAAGAAGCAAGAGCATTCTAATCAACTCTGAGAAAGAAATCTCATTCGGGCTATCCCAGTGAAATGTTAAAATGCCAATGATGTGGAGAATATAAGACGATGTGGAGAATATCACAAGGTCATCTATGACTCAAACTCTCTAACTGGGCACATACGAGCTAGTTTAAGCAACCCGACTCATTCCTTTTGCACACTTGTTGCAAATACTTTTGCATCTCTATTTATCCTTCACAGGTCACTTCTTTCTTTTTCTTTATTTCTTTTATTTTTTTTTTCATTTTTTGTTATAGACCCTAAGGCTTCTATTCAAAAAATAAAATTCTAAAATCTGTCACTAAATTCTTTTGTCCCAATGCACATTCAATTATCCATACAAGATCCGATGTCCTAAATTCCCCCCTCTATCTCCCTATCTCAATAGAATTATATTTCTATTATTCCTAGCCGTTGAATCATGAGATTCCTACACCACATATTTCTCACATGATTCATTGACTTGAGCATTTTGGGACAATAGCATAAAGATAAAAAAAAAAAAAACAAGATCCTGAGCCAGTCAATTGATCGTGTTTCAAGAATCTTTTCTTGAGATTCACTGTATTGTACTTACAACTGAGAGTGTGAGACGGGGACAAGTATGCAGAGACAGTTGAATTTGGGAACATAAGATCCCTCACCTTTTTTAGACCATAAACCCTGAAAAACAGGTGCTACTGGAAAACAACCATGGCCCATCAGCTAACGGCATCAATTTTGAACGCACAAGAGATTACATTTATAGTCAATATAACCATCTAAATCTATCAAAGTAACATCATTGATAGTCATAGCCAGCAGTAATCCGGGACAATGACGCTACAGGAGAAACTTACAGTGTTTACAAACAACAGAACTCTGGCATCAGAAGACAGTGATCGGTGGTCCCTCTACAATCAACCAATTAGATCCTTCACTAGCTCAACAACAGAGAGATCTAGAGCTTTCTGTACATTGCATTTAGTTAGAATCGAGAATTTAAGAGCAGCTGCCTACAGCCGCGGTTATCTGGGTTAGGTCTAGTAAGTGCTTTTATAAAGTAGTTGCGGATCTCCGGTATTGTAAGCTGGATCAGATGAGAATACCTGCAAAAATTAGAAATAAATAATCATTTTAATAGGCAATGGAAGCACATAGCTAATTTAGTGATGAATGTGAAAACACCTTTCGTTTTCATTCTAAAATGAATCAGGATATGTAACATAATTCCACACTTGGTAATCATGCAAGATTGTTTTCTCAATAAGACCACTCACGTAAATTTCTTCTAAAATGATCATCCATAAGAAAATGATCATCCATAAGACCACTCATTCTAAAATGATCATCCATAAGACCACTCACGTAAATTTCTTCCAACATAATAGGCAACTCATCCATGGGTGGATCATCGATATCTGTCATACATTCGCCACTACCTCAACATTGGTCATTTGATGCACTAGGACGAGACACGGGAACATGTTCCCCATGATACACCCAAGTTAAATACGAAGATGCCATTCCTCTTCGGATCAAGTGCATCCACACAACTTGTCTGCTATATTTTGTGCCATTAATGCAATCGACACACGGACACCTAATGTCATCCTCTACGCCTAAATTTGCCATAGCAAAATCAAGGAATGACTTCACCCCTTGTTGATACTCTTTACTTGTCAGCCTATTATTTATTGTCATCCAACTCTTGTCCATTTTGTCACCTACAACTCACACAAAGATTAACTAAGGAACAAATGAGAACACGCATTTCAAGAGAAGATAACATAAAGCACTATGTGTGCCCTAAGCCTAGTTGTGTGCACCACAATCCTTCAAGGGCTCTTGGTGATCTCAATGGAATCAAGAAACACTTTTGCCAGAAAACATGGGGAAAAGAAATGGAAGTGTGAGAAGTGTTCAAAGATTTATGACTTTACATGTTAGTCGGCAATTTCTTGCATAGAAACCATTCAGAACCAGATTTAAATCACCCCATTCAGATTACCAAAAATAAATTTCCAGAAAACTAAATTAAATATTCTGATCAGCAAGAACATAATGATTTTTTATGGAAAAAATTCCATAGCATTGCGAAAGAGATGTGGCAACTGGAAATACAAGAGATGATTATTAAAATATGAATGCATCTCAGAAAGACTTTAGAGAACGTCAACGAAGATATATTTCTCATAAGCAAAAAGATCAATAATTGCACCCAGTCTCAAAGGCACCAGAGGGAAAACTAAGAAATGCAACCCATGATTTAAAACCCAAAAACAAAAAACTAAGGTCAAGGACAAAGGATGAATGTAGCTGATCACAAGTACATAGAAAATAAAATCCATTTAATCTCAAGAAATTATTTTGGTTAGTCAATTCCCTGAATGTTCACTTACAATATTATTATATTCTACAAGCATATTTCAACTTAAAATGCAAAGTGACACCAAATTTTTTAAAAAAAAAAAGCATACACAGCTAGGCCAACAGATCGAAAGTCATGATCCATGGGTACCAAGCTACTACTATATGTTCATTCAAGAACACAACATCAGCCGAAGAATCTACAAGGACAATCTAATCCCTGCCCTTGTTTTACCAAAACTATGATCACTGCATCTCTTTTCCAAGACACAAAATATCATACCTCAAGTGTGAATACTTATTCATTTGTTGATTTTAAAATCATTCATATCTCAAGATTCTCAACCTCCACATATTACATCAATTTCATACATTGGAAATGCAACTATGAAGAAGAACAGTAGGTATATATTAAGTACCTCAACATTCTTACCAAGGCATCCAAAAGCAACGAGCAGCTAGTATATTTACTCAAAACCATAAAAATTCCTCTTTTATATGTACTACTACTACAAGACTTTGCCCTAGTTTATGTAGCAAATGGCTTGATTCACCCCAAGCATTGCCCTAATTTTTAATTTGAATCACATTTCAATAACAATGCCCTAATTGAGGGCATTTCGTACTTCATATTCTGTGTGTTTTGACATATATATATATATATATATGTATGTATGTATGTGTGTGTGTGTGTAAACAGAGACAGATAGAAACAGAGGAAAATCGAGAGGGAGATACAGAGAGAGGGAGAGACAGATGCGAAATTCAAACATACCTAGGAGGGAGTTTCGGGGGATGATACAGCAACTCTTGCGATGGAGACAGAGCAGTGATAGAGGCGGGAGTGCGAGAGGGAGGGAAATAGAATACTTTTGCAATGAAAATAAAAGAAAAAAATATTTATTACCGACCAAAAATTATTTTCGTCGCTAATATATATTATAAAAAAGTAATATTCCCTCCACAATTTCGTGGCACGTTTGGCGACCAAAATCAAATTAGTCGCCGAAACTAATTAATTCTAAAACAAACTTTTGGCGACCAAAATTTTGGTCGCGAAAGGTAAAAACGTGACATTTTTTTTATTTTTTGTTTTCATTCGACAAAACAAATCGAAAAATTATAATTTTGTTCTAAAATTTCAAAAAAAATTCAGTAAAGATAAAAAATAACAAAAAAAATAGTAAATATTTGTTGCTTATTTTGAATTTTTAAAACATATATATTTCTTAGATTCAGCTCGAAAAAATGAATTATCTTAAAATAGGTGTTTTTTTAGATGTTGCCCAATGGTTCATGTGATACAAAAATAAAATTTAAAATATTAATTTATTATCTTAAAAGAAAATAGAAGTAAATGTTACAAAGTTTCTATACGATTCAAACCAATGTTTTAAAAATCGGACCGGTGAGCAAATCGAACCGTTGACATAACAAATATATTTAAATTAATTTAAATAAAAATATAAGTAATAAAATTATAAATTTAAAAATATTAAATTATCTTAAATATTTGTCCATAATATTTTTTTTACTGAAAAAATATAATAATATATTTTAAAATATTATATTCTTATATTTTTATATTTTCTTATATTTTTATATTTTAAAATTTTATGACAGATATATTTTAAAATATTATATTCTTATATTTTTATATTCTTATGTTTGCTTATATTCTTATATTTTTAAAATTTTTCTTATATTTCTCATATATTCTTTACTAGTGTATGCCTGTGCCTGCTGCATGGTGTAAATTAAATAAGTGAATAAATAAATAAATAAATAAATAATAAACATGGGAAAAAAAGAAAGGGGAAATAAAATAAAATAAAAAAGAAAATGAAGAATGTGGAATCATGGGGTCATTCGTGGATTATTTATGAGATAATGGGAAAGGTGGGTGAGAAAGAGAAAAAGAAAAAGTAAGAGAAAAAATGGGAAAGTGAAAAATGTACACATAGCATACATCACAGCCGTTTTGTAATTTGAACAAATCTGAACTGTTCAAATGTCTTAGTATACTAAATAATATATTGAAGATTCAAAAACCCTCCTGTTCAGGAATAATCTAAATAATTCCACTTATTTGATGAGTATACTTATTATGTCTCATTCCTTTTCTATTTTTCTACACATTTTTTATAAAAAAAATTAAAAAATACAACTAAATAAGCAAATCTCAAACAGCTCTTTAATATTTATTTTTCTCATATGAGTGTTTATTCCAAAAATGTTTTCATTCATTTTGTAGTAATTTTTTTATCTCATTTGAAACGGTCAACTGTGATCAAGATCTTGTCTGCTTTTCTCTTCCCAACTCTGTAATTCACTTCTCTCCAATACATAGATGGACTGATATATACATATATATATATATATATATACACATTTCCAGAGACACATGATTTTCATTTTTCTTCTTTTTTCTCTTCTCCAGGATCCCCAAATTCCTCATATATATACACACACATTTGCAGAGATATATTAATAGTGAAACTCACAACTGTTATGTTTCTGATAAAATCCACCCTTGTTCTGAGAGGATTTATGAAATGCTGCATGAACTCTTTCTACTGATGAAGGGAGACACTAATTTTACAGATTTTGAATATTTTATGTAATCAGGACACTGCATTGTGCCTAAGTTATGTGGTGGTGCAACGGACGGAGTGACTTCAAATATAAGAATATTTGAGATTAAAGAAAATTGACTTATTATCTTCTTTAATTCAAACTGTCATCATCAAAATTAAGGTCAATTATCATCAGGATTGCCTCTAGTCTATAAAAGTGGATCAGGCATGCAGTCTTGCTATAAGCCTTACCTCAAGTCTCATTCAAGTGATCTAAATTGTTCATTTTGTAAATCCCTATGTATAAATCATAAATCAAACATAAAAAGAATCAAAATAATCGTAGCCACATTATTTCATCATTTAGTCAAAAATAAACATATAAACTTCATTGTAATTTTAAAATATGCATTGCATTGCACCAAAGGGAGAAAGAAATCGCATTATAAAATGGGTCAAAAGTATTACATATAGATATACAACAACAATCTTACATCCCACAAACAAAGCATTAACAGCTAGCCTCATAATATAATGATAACAACAAACAAAGATGTGTAGGAAATCTATCCAAGAGTACTTTGGCAAGGAAACCTATATATTCGATGACTTTGCAGCATATCCACACTACCATAAGATGCTAAACTAAAGAAAGATCTCTGTCTTTCAAATACACAATATTTCCTTGGTATTTTCCTATCTCCGTACTTCACAAAGCTTCTCCTATGAATTCTTCATAGGATCAAAAATAGGTGTATCCACCAACTAATAAATGGTCTGAGAATCTCAATGCTACTCAATTTAACAATGCAAATTTTTATTGTCAAGGAAAGTGTGGATCATGGTGTCAGGTCAAAATTTGCTTCCAGTAGTGAATGAACATGGGCAAGATAAGACACCTTGTAATCTGGCTTAAATTCCACATCTATGTATTCGGGAGAATCATACCTCCCTGTTTTGTCAAGCAAGCATGTAAATGCTCCCGCTCGTTTCCCACAAGCAACCTGCAAAGACCAAGTAAAGGAGCTTTAATTTACACAAAAGCATGTTTTGATTCAAACAAATTTGATAAAAGAATGTGAAATTAAAAAATATATATATACAAAAATAGCACCTCAAAATGAATCAGAAATGTTCTTAACAAATATGGTGCAAATGATGGAGAGAGAAATAGAGCAGAACTCACATCATCTTTAAGGTTATCCCCAACCATCATTACTTCATTAGGTTGAACTTCCCAAACGGAACAGATATGTAACAGTGGTGCTGGAAGGGGATTGATATATACTTAAGGGGTTCATCTCAGCCATCTATTTAAATAGACAAATGAATCATAGTCATTGAAATGTCTTAGTAGGACAATTGTCTCTAACATATTTTCAAAAACCGTTTTGTCTTATTATATAGATATTGTAAAATATACTTAATTTTTTTTTGGGACTCCTGCATGACTAACTAGGCACTAATCAATTTGATTTAGAATTTTAGAACATGCAATATGTATATTTTGTCATAGATAAAGACAGGTGAAGAAATCATGTGTCAAGTGGATTTAATTAATTTATTATGCAGTTGTAACTAGTTTATTATATTAAAGTAAACCTTAAATTAATTTAGAAGATGATAGCCTAATAAAGCCAACTGGCTTTTACCACTTAATTCAATAAATCTGATTGTTTTATTCATATACCTACTACTAATGGGAATTCATTTTTATTTAATTAATAAGCATGTTTCATTTTCATTTTTATTTTTATTTTTAAAAAAGAAGTTTCTTTCAATTTTATTTTTCTCATTTAAAAAAAAAGAAAGTCAAATTTCAAGTGGATAAAATGTCATTGTTAACAATGTTTATGAACAACGTTGTTAAGATTTGACAACCTTTTCATAAAAATAAAAATAAAATAACTATTTTGTTTAATCATTTTTGTCGACCAAAATTTTGGTCGCCAAAGATCAAAAATAATTTTTTTTTATTTTCATTTGGCTACCAAACAATTTAGTAGGCAAAAGTAGGTCTACAGCGACTAAAATGAATTTTGTCGTTGAAAAGATATTCTTGGCGACCAAAAGATCAAAAATAAATTTTTTTTATTTTTATTCGGCTACCAAACAATTTATTAGGCAAAAGTAGGTCTACAGCGACTAAAATGAATTTTGTCGTTGAAAAGATATTCTTGGCGACCAAAAGATCAAAAATAAATTTTTTTTATTTTTATTCGGCTACCAAACAATTTAGTAGGCAAAAGTAGGTCTACAGCGACTAAAATGAATTTTGTCGCTGAAAAGATATTTTTGGCGACCAAACTTTTGGTCACCAAAGATCAAAAATAAATTTTTTTATTTTCCTTCGGCTACCAAACAATTTAGTAGCTAAAGGTGCCTCTACAGCTACTGAAAGTATTTTTAGTTGCTAATGGAGATATGTTTAGCTACTAAAATTTTTTTTAGTGGCCAATTGTAATATTTTTAGCTACTAAATTTATTTTAGTCGTGAATAATCAACATTCCCCTACTAAAAAAAATTAGTAGCTAAAAAGTTGACTTTTGCCAACTAAAATTAATTTTGGCACTTTTGGCGACTAAATTTGTTTTGGTAGCCAAAACTGGTCACCAAAAATGTGTTTTCTTGTAGTGTTAGTATAGGAAAATAACCTACTAAAATATCAAACTTCCCAAACGAGGCCACTAAAAGTAGTTATTCAGTATTATTGGTAGCATTGATGTGATAGTGTAACAAATACATTAGAATTTTAAAATTTTTGTAAAAATTAAGGATTAAAATATATTTGTGATTTTGGTGGGTGCTATAAGAATTTTTCCTGAATACGGCTTAATGTGGCTTATACATGATTATACTAGATTTATCTCATTAAGCAAGATACATATGTACACCAATTAAATGATGACTAATTGTTGATGAATGCACCTATATAGAGAATGGTGGAAGGGTAAGACAAGAGAGGATCGAGAATAGAATTGCATCCAGTCAAACCACATAATTTAAAAGAGTTTGGAGGTTGGTTCAAAGAAAGGAGTAGTAGACCATGAATGGACGATCGTTTCTAGACAGCAAAGAAAGCCTAGAACATCCTTCACCATCTTTATAGCCAACATTCCAGAGCTGTTGCAAGTGGATTCCTTAAAGGGCATTTTTCAAAGATTTGGTAGGATTGTTCACGCTTCAATTCCAAATAGAAGAACCAAGCGCTTCAATTCAAGATTTGGCTTCATCCAATACAAGAGGCTAGATTCAGCAGTAAAGGCAGCTCGAAAATTCAACGGAGCATGGTATGGTGAATATAATCTTATTGTTAAGCCTGCCAAGTTTGATAGACCACCATATCCCAAGCATTTTCAGGCAGAACAAAAATAGAGAGTTCAATCTTATGATGCATGTCATCACACTTCAATGCATCTGTCAAGAGTGCAAAGCCACAACAAACTCTACTATGCAGAAATTGTGAAAAGCAATTTGCAAGCAAATGAACAAGCTAAAAGGATTCAAGTAACTAAGCCAACTATCAAAATTCATGCAGAGGAAGTGGGAAATGAATAGCTCTATAGAAGTGTAGTGGTGAAAGCAAGTCTTCCCCTTGCAGATCAATCCATATTGGCCTCCTTCTCTCCTGAGGATGCTAAGAAAATTCAGGTGCATGTAATGGGTGGCAAATCATATGTCCTAACTTTTAAATCAAAAGAGGATATGAGAGATAGAATCGAAAACCGTAAGGAATGGTTTAATTCACGATTCGAGGATGCACAAGAATGGTCTCTTTGGAAACAAACCAATCCTAACATAAGAACATTGTGGATCAATTGTTATGGAGTTCCACTGAATCTCTGGAACTTCAATACATTCAAGAGCATAGGAAGAGTTTGGGGTGAAGTGATCATGGTTGATGATTCCACATTGAAGAACCTATCTTTTTAATGTGGAAAAGTTATGATAATAACAAGTCATTTCGAGGTCATTAACCATGTCATCGCTTTGGTCTGTAAGGATGGTGAACAGGTTATCTGAGTTGCGAAGGAATAGGTAGTGAACATTCATATGCCAAAAGCTGTTAGAGAATTTTCTAGGCAAGAAGACAATGATGTGGCTGATAAAGGAGCTGACTCGGATGATATGAACAATGTGCACCCAACATGGGTCGAACAGCATGGCATCAAATCTCCACAGGGAAAGAAACTGACTATCCAAGCTAAAATCCTAACTCACGGGGGACAACCATCATTGTATGGAGAACAGGGCTGTCAAAGCACGCCTATTGCAAACAACCATGCCATTAAGGAAGCTGAAAAGTTTACTAATTCAAAAATTCAGGAGATGGGCCAAATTACTATTTGCAAAAATAAACAAGTGGTTTCTAGACCAATCAACCCAATGCTTCTTTTGAGCCCATCCTCTTCTGACTCATCAACCCATTTTGTTGCTAACTCAAAGCATTCTCTTTATCAAGCGAATCACTCATATAGAGCTGGCCCATCCCACACAAAAGTGATCCATCAGGAGGATCTTAACCATGTTTAAACCCATGTTATCACCCTTACCCACACACTTGCCCCTCTTATCATCCATAATCCCAAACCTCCAACCCTCAATCCTCAATCCTCATGTTCGCAGCCATTTTTCTTCCTCTTTTCATTCTCTTCCATCTCATTCGGACCCCATAGAGAACACCTCTCTGTCATTCGTCCCAGATTCACTTCTTTCTTACTCTAATAATCTCAAAACAACCTTTAGGCCCTCTGAAAACCACTAGATTGAAATAGTTGATGGAACTTCTAAACCGCTCGTAGGTTTATCCAAAAGGAAGAGCAAAAGGAAATTTCTACAACATGTGCTTGGAAATGTTGCTGCCAACAAAATCCGTAGATGAGGGGAACGAAAAAAGGGTGGAAAAGCTACAGCATTCTATTCAGCTGCAGCAGCTATTTCGCTTTCAATTTCTTTGGATGCCATTACTAATCGGAATCAAATTATTCTTAACAAAGCTTAGACAGTGTGGGAAATTGGGAAACTTCCTGGGTTGAAAAGTAAAGAAGATGATGATGAGGTTGTTAGTAAACTCAAAGAGCTCCATGATCAGAATGGGCTTCAAACCAATAGAGCAGGAGGTGAGAGGATTTAATCCTTGGCACACACAGGTTATAAATGGATATATAATAATGTTTCCTATGAAGATTATCTCTTGGAATATAGGGGGATTAGGGAAAAGGGAAAAGAGAAGAGGAGTCAAAAATTTGATCTCTCAAAGAAAAATTGATATTCTGTTCCTCTAAGAAACAAAGATAGAAGTAATTAATAGCCAGCTCTGTCACTCAATATGGCCATATAATGATCCGGGCTTTGCAGCAATAAAAGCCGAGGGATCCTCAGATAGTATTATTTGCGTTTGGGACAGGTCATTATTCTCAGTTTGTGAGTGCATCCAGAGTCCAAATTTCATACTACTAAAAGGTATGATTTCCTCGGATTTTGATTAATGTTTATGCTCCAAATGAAGCCAATAGAAGGAAAATTATGTGGGATGAATTGTTAAGCCTTGGAGCTAGGTATGATCTACCATGGTGCATTGGGGGTGACTTTAATGAAATTATTAGAATTGGGGAAAAAAAAGGTTGCCTATCAATCTCTGCTAGTATGAAACAATTTAGTGAGATAGTGGCCAATCTGGATGTCACGACCCAACCCCTGCCCCATGGGATTAGAGACGTAACTGGCCAGTAATCCACAATTACCAAAGGCTTGCTGAATAATAAATAGTATGGGGCTAGACAGAAGCTAATAAAATCATAAATCATCGTCCAATGAGCTATGAACTAAAATGAATAAACACACCTTATATACATCACTGTACAATCATCCCATATCTTATTACATCATATACATGTACCAAAAGCAAACACAATACCCAATTAAGCATAAGACCAAAAACACTTTGCTACAAGTCACTTAATCACTTTATAAAAGGGTAAATTCATATTCACCCAAAAGCCTTAGAGTTAAATCCAAAAAGAACCCTGAAGAGAGGCACTACAGTTGGCTTGACAAACTAGAAAGTAGGTTGACGCCCTTAACCCCTCTCTTGAGCTAGATCACCTACATGACAGACATGAACTGTGAGCTAGAGCCCAGTGAATAACAATGTATAAAATACAAGGTCAGAGATAATAACCATTTGAACAGTACAATCAAGTCATATAGCAGTAACATGTACATTAAATATAGCAATCTTGTGGAACCACCGGTTCATATACTAGCTCTTC